ACTGTCACCTGCCCCCTTCCAGAGGGATACTGTCACCTGCCTCACAGAACTGTGCTATTATAAATCATAATGCCGCCACACCATCTGCCGATCGTCATCCGCAAGATTAAACTTTACAGTTTCTCATATGCAAAAAATGTTTTGTATGTATATTACTGATCTTATCTAGGAAATCAGTGTTACAAAAAGGGGGCAGGTGTGTGATACAGAAACTACAGGCTACTTCCTTCACTTCATAAAATGCATCCATCTGCCATATTGCTTATTCATTGCTCACAATGAGGTTGGAGTATATCCAGGACACACACACACACACACACACACACACACACACACACACAAACACACAGACAAATGGGAAATGTAGAACATTACTCTGGGGTAGGGGCTCTGTTCAGGTGCCCAATGGTCATGTGACTCCTGTGGCAACCACGGGATTTTAACCGACAACCTTCTGATCACAAGCACAGAGACTTAACCAATGCTTTTGGACAGTGGTGGGGGGCAAACTCCACACATAAGAACATAAGAACTATACAAACGAGAGGAGGCCATTCGGCCCATCGAGCTCGCTTGGGGAGAACTTAACTAATAGCTACATGTGGTAGCTGGGGTTGTAATCTCCACACAGGAGGTGAGTGAGCGCTGTGAGACTCACTTCATAAAACTAACTGGTTGCGCTACAAAAGCAGGCCATTGAGAAGTCAGAAAAGTAACAAATAAATTAAAAACATTACATTTTACCATAAACCGCTTTAATGCTCAACAATGCTAAAATAACATTTTAATACCAACAAATCGATTCTCTCTAGTAGGCCAGAGAACAAAGTCCCTGGTATCAAAGTGATATGGACTTTTAAAAACATTTTTGCGGTTGTATGTTTATTTCTGTGGGACCGGCTCAGCGCTGCTGGAAGCCACGCAGGGAACTGGGGAGGCGGCCAGCACAGACCGACTGTGAGTCGATTAAAACTGAGATCAGCATGTTCCACACAAAGTAGCCAGAAAACGCGCAAAAGCTGGATAATCCTAGTGAGTATTTTTATTTGTTGTGTAGGATTTTATTACCAAAGATCAACACAATAATGTGTGCATGTATGTATGTTTACATGGGTAATAGACAATGCTTACAATAGAATGTAATGATTGTGTTACACATACATGAAACTAAACGTTTAGCGGTAATAAGAAGATCAACAACCGGCCCCAGGAAAGATCCCATGGTAACGTCCAAGTACATGAAGCTATACTCACAATTTACTAGCCCTTTACAACCACTTTGAAAGGTATGTCATTGTGAATGTGTTCAGGGATCAGTATTATCATGCAAGTTCTGGTGACTGCTTAGATATTCTTTGTCTCAGGTATTTGCTTACTTTATTGTTCCCCATTTTTAATGAACATGTATATCACAAATGATAAAGACGATAGTATTTGCTGCGACCACACCCTGCCTTCCTGCAGAAACACACCTGTAGCATAACACCCTTTCATTAGACTACGGGTGACATCACAGCCTCTCCAAAGTAGGGCATCTCCAGCTTGAATTGCTGGTGAATTGTGGTGCCGCTGTGATTCTGGCTGGCAGGCAGGCGCTTGATATCATTTGAGAGCTCTAGGATTAGCAGCTGAGATTCTTTAAGAGGAAAAAAAAAATGATAAACTATGTGGTGAAGTAATACCAAGTAAACAGTCATCACAACCAACGGCACTCGGTAAATTTTTAATCTTTAAAATTGATCTGGTATTTAACATCACATTTAAGCCATCAATTTAGTAACTGAACAGTATCATTAAACGTACTGTTCCTGCTGATCGGCTCAACTGCTCTAGTAACTGAGGGCTAAATTATCAGGCAGGCACAGAGATTTGCCTTTAATTGCTTGACCTCTATAGATTTGCGTGAGTGAAGAACGACAAGGCCTGCCTGCGTCAGCTGAGGGATGAGAATCTCTCACTTCTTTAAAACCAGCGAAATAAACGCAGGCTTCAGAGTGTTTCTGAGGTGCGCGGGCGAAACGACGGACCGTTTGCTGTCAGACGCCGAAAAGCAAAGTGGGGAAGCCAACAGGGCCTCCTTTTAAGGTCTGAAAAAGCAGATGTATCAGAAAACTCTCGTCACGTCTTGTCACAGGGATCCAGTAAAATGACAGCCAGCTTCCCTGCTGGACTCGCCGCTGAACATTATTAACAGTATCTTTCGTGAGAGAGATAATTACCTAAATTGGACACCAGCGGCTGTGACTTTCCATTACATTTTTGAACATCTGAGCAAAGTAAATGAGTAATAGAGATAGGTTCTGTGATAAGCCGCATACCTCCGGAGTGGGCGGGGCTTCCACAGAGCAGTACCACGCCCTGTCCTTCACGCACCGACACGGTTCCTCTTCTGTGAGTCTTGAAGTTTTCTAAATCTGAGAAAAGAAGCCAGGCAGCATGTTAACTGCAGGGACAAAATCTTCATGGCAGTTTAACAGAACTGAGGACATACACTCTCTGGTACTTAAATCAGGTACTTGGCACCTCCCAAAAGGCTAACTTAATTAAATAAAAAGTAATTAAAAGGCACAAGTAATTTACATAATGCGACCAAGAACCAAGTACTGGAAAGTAGTTTTTACAGTATATTTACTTATGTTGGGGGAGTTTATAAAATGTCAAAGAGAAACTCAATGAAAAAAGTACACCAGACGAGATGAAACATTTTCATTTTTTTCCATCTTAATAGAGTGCTATACAACTCTTATTCATTAGTCAGGGCAGAAAGAGAAGCCAGGCGGATGTATGGCATAAAAATGAGAATATTTTAAATAGGATTCAGAATCACAGTGACTTAGATCCTCACTCTGTCAAAAAATGCCTACTTGTATTTCAAGTGCAAAGCAGAGAAGAGATAAAATGGATCGGACTGTCTAGTTCTTGCTTAATATTGTCGCTGTTGATCTAAATCACAAAATATGGTGACAACCGAATAAACTTTTAGCCGAAAAGTACCTGGTAGTAATAGTAATGGGTTCTGCAAGTAAATAATAAGTTGGTGCATTTTTATGGGTCATGCGGTATCAATGGAATGAATGGCTGGGTTAATGCAGTGCACTGCACTAAATAACTATCCCTGTGTGGTATGTACCCCCCCTGAAGGGTTACCTGGCAGCCTGACAATGCTCTAATCCAAATGGCCTGCACTGTAATCGAGTTGTGAGACAGGCAGGAAGGCGGCAGTGGCTTCTCTGTGGATTGCTTTACATCAGTAGCACAAAGCATTTGTGGGACTGTCTGCAGAGGCAGTGTGGTCATGCAGCTTCCCGCCATTAGGGCAGTGTGGTCATGCAGCTTCCTGCCGTTAAGGCAGTGTGGTCATGCAGCTTCCCGTCATTAAGGCAGTGTGGTCATGCAGCTTCCCGCCGTTAGGGCAGTGTGGTCATGCAGCTTCCTGCCGTTAAGGCAGTGTGTTCATGCAGCTTCCCGCCGTTAGGGCAGTGTGTTCATGCAGCTTCCTGCCGTTAAGGCAGTGTGTTCATGCAGCTTCCCGCCGTTAGGGCAGTGTGTTCATGCAGCTTCCCGCCGTTAGGGCAGTGTGGTCATGCAGCTTCCCGCCGTTATGGCAGTGTGGTCATGCAGCTTCCCGCCGTTAGGGCAGTGTGGTCATGCAGCTTCCCGCCGTTAAGGCAGTGTGTTC